TTTTAATACAATAGTAGGCCCTATAATTATATCAAAAGTATTCATTGTCATTTTCACAATGACACTAAAATAAATATTTTGATTAGTCGTAAAAATACAACTGACTAATAATTTTGACAATATGATTCAGACTCTAACCTTTTGCACAATGCCACACATCAAAATAATGGTTTACTTCTGGAATTTGCTCCCGCATGTACTTTTTTACTTGATTATGTCTGTCAGTAACTAGGGTTTCTGCAGTTACACCATTTTCTTTCATCAGAGTTAAACACCTTTTAAGACCTTCCAGTTCCATTGCACCTGAGTTTCGAACCTCATTTGACTGTAAAAAAACAAAAAACAACATGTAATTTTAATAATAAAAGAAAGTTTACCTAAAAATTATAATTGTCAATGAGACTTTTATGCGCTTGTAAGCGTGTAGCATGATAATAATTTTTGTGAATGTAGTTGTAAGATAAGATTTATAAGCATGGTCCTTCTATCTACACTTTGTACATTTAAGTGCGCAAGTAAATGCTGCACTGTAGAAAAACTGCTACCTGAAAATAATATAGCTGCCGACAACAGCAGATTACCCCAAGGCATTTTGTTATGGCAGTACTGACTTTGCCATGTACGAATATGCCCCATGGCACATTCAGCTTCTAATGTGATCATTGTTCCCATGGTTGCGGTCTTTTTCACAATACATTGTGCACTACACTGGTTGCAAGTTGACAGTAAATCATGAAGTTTTGATTCAAACACGATGAATTTATTTTCTTCATGATTTGGAAGATTGGATAATACTAAGGATACATGGGTGTTGTTGTCATCCCTAACCCTATCTGAGCTTCATAATCAATATCAGAAAAAGAACTTGGTTGAAAATCAGGATCATTGGAAACATTATCATCATCCATGCTGTCATCATATTCTTCATAATCATCATCCTCATTTGAATCATCATCCTCATTTGTATCATCATTACTGTTACAATTATTGTCTGAAATACATTCAGTTTTATATTTGCATGCAGTTGGTGTTATTAACTTGCATCCTTTAATGTTTACTGAAGTGTTGGCTAATATTGTAACAGGATCTGTCTGTGTTTCTCTGCTTTTAATTACGGGTTTGGCTTGACAACGTTTCACTGATACCTTTGGCTTCAATGGTGGAGGAGATTCGATGTAATAAGGAACATACTGTATAATGGAAGGGACTTGTGATGTGGTTTCTACAGCTGCTGGTGTTGTTTCCTTTTCTTGATCATCATCTTCCATAACAATGTAACTTTCATCTGCAATAAGTAAGGTTTCTAGTACCTAGTAAATAAAAGAAATCATAAAAATTTATTGCCAGACCAGGAAAAGCTAATGATAGGAGCCTTATGCCGACTTTCCAAGTTAGTAAAATTCATTTCAGTAACCTAGTCTTCAAATATCAAATAAATTTCAGGGTCAAAATCTTTCCCCAAAAACCCCAAAAATGAAGGTTGTCCATGGAAAATTTTGATAACTAGGTGGCGGGAAATGACCTTTCCCTGTTTCAAGTTTTAATTTTCTTATAATAACAAAAAAGAATTCAGCTCACCGGTCCTGAAAATCCAGAATTTTTTTTAAATGTATTTTTTTTTCCAATGGTGGGGGTTCAGGATCCCTGTTCCCCTGATCCACCAATGTGATTTTCAAAATGTAATTCAGTCAGGAACTGGATAAGCACGCTTTCTGCTCCCTCTCCTCCTCCTTCCCCCTTTTCTTGCATTACTTTCCAATCATACAAAATCTCCATACAATCAATAGTTGCAAAAAAAAATTGGGGAGGGGATCCAGGCCCCAACCCACCTGCTTCGCACCAGCCATGAAATGTGCAAATACCAATAGTATTCTATATTGTGCCAAGCTTGTGCTAGGCCTGCCTCTTAAAATTAGAACAAGGTCTAGCCCAGACTAGGCCTAGGGCTTAGGCCCTAACTTGACATGGTCTATAATTATAGGCCTAGGCTAGGGCATAGCATGTGCCTTTAATAACATGATAGAAAGACCTAAGCCTAAATGGTACATTTTTGCAAATATTGAGATAGATAAGCATTGTCAAAAAAGATTCAGACAATGCATACGGCTTAGCATAGGCCCTAGGGTAAGCACAGCGGTTAGCTAGGGTCTGGCTTTAGGCATAGCCTACCTGGCTAGGCCTAGGCTAGAGAGGAGGCCTAATAAATTAAAATAACAACTCACCTCCTTTTTCCTACGTTTTTCATAAGCACCACGTCGTATCTTGGATTCTCGTGTCGATTGTTGATTTTGACCATAATCAAAATTAGTAGGTATTGCATTAAGCTTTCTATTAAGTTTTTCTTTATATCCCAGAGAAGATAAATATATGAAAGGCCTAATAAGTCTGTAGGCCTAGACCTAGTACCGTATTTAGCGTAGGTTGTTTGTTTTTTGGTTTTAATTGCCTTTTTTTACAGTCTTCTGTCTAGGCTTATGCAGCAAGCAAAAAAAAAAATCGCATCCCATTTTTTGGTTGATGATAAAGCATGCCCTGGCAAAAATATCCTATAGGATCCTATAGGATGCTATAGGACAAAATCCTATAGGATTCTATAGGTTTTTCGCCAATAGGTTCCTATAGGATTCTAAAGTGGCCTATAGGATCTTGGATCCTATATATGGGCCTATAGCATGCTATGAGGGCCTATAGGATCCAATAGGGGCCTATAGGATCCTATAGGGGCCTATAGGATCCGATAGGGGCCTATAGGATCCTATAGGGGCCTATAGGATCCTATAGGACCCAATAGGGACCTATAGGATCCTATAGGATGCTATAGGATCCTATAGGCCCCTATAGGTTACATATACTTTTTTATGCAAACTTTAGTGCTGTATGTAAATGTTAATGCAGTCAAAGATCCTTCGTTGTTGAAAATATTTTCCTTGGTGGTCAGGTACACATTGCTACTTGAACACATAAATAAATTGGTTTCTTGGTGGTCAGATAGACATTGCTAGTTGTACACAAAAATAAATTGGTCAAACACCTTCCAAATTTGCCACTTTCTCATCGACTGAAAATTTCTTCATTAGATGTTCTGTTGAGAGTAATAAACAAAATACTTGTACCAGATAAAATAATTTTTAATTTTTTTAAATTGGCTAAAATTAATTACTATATATAAGCACTTACATCTGTGACTGTTTTATATATAGTGTAAAATTTGGATATTTTCCATTTTGTGGTGCAACTAATCTTAATACACTTTCAATACTGAAACAATCTATTTTATGTACTCTGATTTTATGTAAGGATGATGACATTACCATATTTGTATTATGTAATCAACTATTAGGTTAATCAAACTTTCATTTCACCATTGTACATTTGACACAGCCTGACTTTACAAATTATATGAAACATGACAAGCATTCCTTTTTCTTTCTTTTTTATTAAGTTGTATATAACTATGGACATTTTTTTGTATTGAATGAAGGTGGATAGACTTCAAACAAGATATAAATTACAAATGTTACTACTTACCAATTAAGGAAGAAGAGATGTTGCATTGCATGCAATTCCCGACAAAGAATGTGTCGCCATCACTTCCCTGCTGAAAAAAAACATCATCGCGTCTGCGGCGTATTTGTTGATGTTCCCCTTTGTCCACATGTTCACCACATCCTTTGGTGCTTTTAGGCCTTTTGCCAAAGTGATCTAAATATGGAAAGATAATTCATCTAAATAAGCTTATCATTTGATAAGACATGGCCAATGTCAAACCATATCAATTTATAATATTCTATGGAACAGTATATTGTCAATAGTCAGTGGTAAACTATAAAATAGGGAAAAGATTAATTTGCATACCATATATTTATTTTTGTTTCTATCATGAGGGTTAAAGCTCACCAAAAGAAATATATAGCAATTTAGCTTGCAGTAATTCAGAATAAAAATAATTAGCCAAATAAAAAGCAATGATAGCTTATATTGGCTATTTTTATTGGCTAAATATTTAATAAAGCAAAATTACACTTCATTGCTTTTTGGCAAACATTGGGACAAATGTACTTCTAACATGGCTCTACAATTAGATAGTTCACAGAGCATTAACAAAGTATTGAGAATTGTGCAAATGAATCTTATAGGGTCTTAGAGGTACTGTATATGGACCCAGCCTAATCTCGCTGTCAGATCTAATATTGAATAGTCTTCATATGACAAAGGACATATTCACATTTTATGCTAATAGAACAGAGGTAAACATTAACATACCTGCTCATCATCTTTTTCACTCTCTATCTCAGAGAGAGAGGGTGAATTTCCACCTGAACTTGAGTGGTGCTTCTTTGCGGGGCCTAACATCAGTATCATCTGCTGCGTCTTTTCTTTTCTCAACATCACTTAGCAATGTTGGCAAATCTGATACAAGATAATATAATACCATAAATATACATCACAGTGGTATCATTATATCATTATTGAAACCATCCAGGATTATTTTTCACTTTGCCTGTTTCTGAAAGTCATCCAAATTTTAAGACAATTAGTTCTAAAGGTAAAATCCTTTGTTCCTTCCAAAAATGAACCTTTAAAATTAAAAATATCATTTTTAAAATTAAAAATATCATTACATTGCTACCAATAATAATAATAATAATAGTTGGATTTGTAGAGCGCATCATGCGAAAAAGCCTCTATGCGCTTGGTGATTGAGCTCTTTGATTTGGACATTTTGAGAAAAAAGAAAGTTGAAGTTATTTTATGAAACTAAAAAAACCTACTCCTTAAACTACCACTCCAAAACAAAAAAAAACAAAAAAGAAAATTTGACCTGTCTTTCTTTTCAGATGTGTATCAAAAAACCTTTCTACTAAAATTTTGAATAAATAATGGCAATATTTTACTTTATTTTCACTTTAGCGTTAATATTTACAGTATATATATATATTTTAATTTATTTAATTTACCATTTCCTTTTTCTTCTTTGGAGGATAGGACAATAAATGCAAATGTTTTATTCTGTAAGATTGACTGGTTAGTTTTGTACTCTTTTCATACATTGAACTTCTTTTTAAAACTCTTTTGGAAGAAGTGTTCTAATATAGACAATGGGTCGTGCTCATATTATTTGTTATAGTTTTATTATTCATTATTTTCACTTGACTCGCATAAATAATTTTGTTCGAAGAACATTTATATGCAGTTGTACTTCGCAGCACTTCACTTGCAATTTGCAATTTCTAGTTTATTTGTAATATTGTCCTGGAATATTTGGTTTTCAAGGAAACTCGGGTTAGACATGGTATTATAGTATGTATATATCTTACAGACTAAGCATGCTATTGCCTGGTTGAATCTTAACACTTGCTTTTCTAGCTCAACATTCTTTTCAGTCAACTTTCTGTTTTCCTCCTTAAGTATTTTGATTTTTGACAATGATGACATTTCCGTAAGTATTCAAAAGATTTTGCAGTTGAATTTATAAAAATATTTTTAATACTACTTTAAGTGAATATAAAAAAGACATACATGATTTAAACATTCTGTTCAAATTCTGTTATGAATGTGATAAATAAATATAAAATTAAAAACAACTTCAACATTGTAGTACCATAACAAAATAATAAAGCAAAATTTATATTGTATATACATCAAAGCATTTTCGTTAATTAGAATGTTTTGTTTAACCTACAAATTAAACCCTCATTATATTTTTATATATATCATTTTTTAGGAGGATAATGAAAGTTCTGAGAGCGACGCGACTGTGAATGAGGATTGTGCCTCTGACATTGATGACATCATTGTAAGTATTTTTTTGATTGGAGATTTAGCAGAATTTGAACTTGAAAGTATTTATAATAATCTAGTCTTTTTTTTTAATTTGTAACTTTTATTAAATTTGTATTATTTTTAGGTTGATAATGAAAGTGTTGAGAGCGACGTAAGGGCCAATGAGGATTGTGGTTCTGACAATGACATCAATGTAAGTAGTTTTTGCGCAAGTAAATACACAAACATTTAATATTAGACCATTATTTCTTGTACTGAAGTATATATTAACGATTAAGGCTCATGTCCAAATCCAATTCAACACACTTTATTAATCAGTATTTTTCATTCTGTTGTTAATTCAAATAATTGTGTCATATCATATTCCAGTTCAAATTATCTGTCGAAAGTCTCATGTCATGGAATTTGCATTAAATTTAATTGCCTGTATATTTTAATATGACCTTTTTATTGTAATAAAGTTATTTTATTTTACACTTTTCCTTTTATTGATACTAATAAAAGTACATTTTTTGTTTTATAAAGTCAAATGATGAAACAGATGAGCAAGAATCTGATAAAGATGCAGATGCACAAGATATAGACATGCAAGATACTGAAGATGAAAGTACTGATGAAGAAACTGATGCAATTCAAGGTTTTCGTGATGATGATGATGATCCTCTTTTCCCGGGGTCATGTGTTACTAAGTCTCAGGGTTTACTTGTGTTGTTAGCATTTGTATTAAAACAACGGTTGACTCAAACTGGTATCCAAGAACTTCTAGATATGCTTAATATTTTATTCGGTGGCATCTTCCCATCATCAAAGTGTTTGTTTTTCAAGAACTTTACAGACTACAAGGAAGTTATCAAAATGCATTTTTTTTGTGAGAAATGTCTTACCTACATTGGAGACGAGGATCATTGTGCAGAGGTTAAAACTTGTCCGGATTGTAGAGAGAACGTTACCACAAATGTGAAAAAGGGATGTTTTTTTCTTTCATTTTCTGTCAGAGAACAGATAAAGCAAAAACTTGAAGATGGTCTCATTAATGACGTCGTTGATAGAAATTCTGTAATAGATGATGGCATATTAAGAGATATCACATCTGGTCAAAAGTACAGAGAACTTTGTGAAAGTGCACATCTTGGACCAAATGACCTAACCCTTCAGTGGAATTGTGATGGAGCACCTGTATTCAAATCTAGTGGATATTCAGTATGGCCAGTACATTGCCTCGTTGATGAGTTGCCTCCAAGAATCAGAAAAAAAAACACAGGTTGCTAACAACATTGTGGTTTGGACCATCCAAACCCCGACCGGACACATACTTGAAGGTATTTGTTGAGGAAATGCAACAACTAGAATTAGATGGTATGGTTTGGAGAAATGGTAATGCACAAACATGTTCTAGACTGGTAACAGCAGTATGTATCGCAGATACAATTTGCCGACCAATGATTCGAAACTGTGTTCAATTTAACGGAAATTGGGGATGTGATTGGTGCTACCATAAAGGTATTTGCAATCCAAGGGGAAGAGGACACAATAGAGTGTATCCTCATGGACAGCATATGTCTCGTAATGCTGTTGCCCATCAAGACCATGCATTTCGGGCGTTAGAGAGCAGACAGAGAGTTTTTGGAGTATCTGGCCCCTCAATGTTAATGCTACTTCCACACTTCGACATTATACAGGGATTTGCTCCAGATTACATGCTCACGGTTCTGCTGGGAGTATGTAGACAGTTTGCCACATTGTGGTTTGATTCTACATACTATCAGTCTCCCTGGTATATTGGAAAGAGCATAAAATGTCTGGATAAGCGACTACTAAGTCTATCACCACCATCAGAAATAACAAGGCGCCCCAGATCACTAAAATTAAGAAAATACTTCAAGGCCAATGAATGGAGGGCGTTCCTGCTGTACTACAATGTAATATTAGAGGGTATTTTGCCGCCAGAATACACACAGCACTGGAAATTACTCATAACTGCCATACATTGCCTGTTACAATTAAGATGCCATCTCAAACGATATGATAGAGCAAGCAGAGCGGTACCTGATAAAGTTTGTTAGAAAGACTGAAACACTGTATGATTTACAACATGTTTCATTCAACATCCACCAGCTGGAACATTTGCCCAACTCTGTAAGAAGATGGGGACCTCTATGGGCAGCGTCTGGCTTCATCTATGAAGATCAAAATGGTGTCTTGCAGAACAAAGGGACGTAATATGTACCTCAACAGATGTACAGGCATTTTGTACTAAAGCATAGTCTTCCATCTGAAGCAAAAAAAAAGGATGGTAGGGGCAAAAAAAAGTAGTAAAAGATCTGTATGCCAAGCTAACAACAACAGAAAAATTTCCACGCAGTCATGTTCTTATTACACATGATGTTGTAGTCTGTGGATTGCCAGTACAGTATAAGAACCTCATGCCTGCAGAGCAAATAGCTGTTGAAGAATGTGTTGGGAATGTCAATTGTCGGAAAGTAGAAGTCTACAAGAGGTTCATAGTCAATCACACAATGTACCACACTGCAGAATATAAACGAGTGTCAAAAACATGCAATACATCCTTTGTTTCTATTACAGGCTCATATTGGGATATTGAAATTTTATATCACTAAAAACATGTTGCCATACTAATTGTTGTTGCCCAAATAGTCAACATAATTATATCAATCAGGTGGATAAACAGAATCATCTTAGAGCATTCAAAGTTGATGAAATTAAAAGAAAAGGAGTAAAGATGATAGTTGAAGGGAAAGTATATATGTCTGCATTGGCAAATAATTATGAATTTGACTAATTAACGTACAGTAGCACGTCACTGATGATTATGCATACAAGTTCTTAATTTGAAACAAAATGACTAATTGTATATAAAAATATATACAGTATACTGTAAGGCAATGAAGATAAAGTAAACTACAGTACTATAAGGTTTATTTATGTATAACCTTGATAGGTCCATAATTTTAAACATTTTAATATGTATTAACTACTGTATATAAAATTTAATTGCAAAACAATAATTAATTTTAATTTTAATATACGGTTCAACTTGTTTGAAGTCGAATGCATAATTCCATTGTTCGACTTAGATAAACAACATGTAAAGTAATTTGGCATAATAAGGTAGACTGGTTTAACTGTATACAGATTTTTTAAAATTATTTTAATTGACAAAATTGTAACAAATTATTTGTATATAAATGCAACAAAGAGCAAATATACAACCATGTTTACTTGCAAAATACAAACCTGTACAGCGTTTATTATGTTAATAAAGAATAAATGGCATTTTATATTGGCACTCTGGTTATTAATTTTATTGTTCTAAAATATTTAAACCTTGGAGAAAAACGCCTATAGGTTCCTATAGGTTCCTATAGGCCGCCTATAGTATCCTATATGCGGCCTATAGGATCCTATAGGCAGCCTATAGGATCCTACAGTACTGATTACCGAACATTCGACATTACACGCGTGTATTGTGCGTGTGTTTCACGAGTAAAATGCGAGTGCCGTTATTCTGCGAGTGCTCCAATTAACGCGTGAATGATTTTACTCAGTATACACTTCCTGGTAAAAATCGAAACTTGCGGTCTATGAACGGTCACGTATACTTTTAAAGTTGTTTATTCACGATCTTTTACTAGAGTTCTGCTACGACTTTTCCTTGAGCACTGTCACGTAATCTGAATACACTCTTTTGTCTCTATTGTTATTAGTATGGAGGGTGTTTCAGGCGTGGTTGACTAGTAGAGTTTTGAATAGAAGTGCAGTACAGTAATTGAATACATAGTTAATTTAAGAAAACGAAAATCGTCTAAAGTCATCTTAAGTTTGTAATATTTCCAAATAATACAATCGTTTCATTATTATTTATGTAACTGTTTGTGTTTCGGACGTAGCAGGTAAACACATTCATGTTAGAATATTTCAAATACTTCACTCATTAAATAATGTTTAATGTTTCATGCGTGGTAGGGTACCATATTTTTTAATACGTCTACAAATAAAGGTAATTCTAACGATATTTTAAATATAATTTTCGTAAATAACATTCCGTAAGGTTCAAAATTATAACGACCGTCTTATCATTATCTTAATCATAATTGAACGCTTTTTGCAATTTTTTTTAGTGTTTTGAGTCGTGGTACTGTACTACCAGAGTCGGTTTGGGATATTTAATAGGTCTATGTCTAAATAGAATTAATTTTTATAGTATTAAGAGATAATATAATTAATAACATTCGTAAAGTCAATTAAAACGACCGACTCGTCATTATTTAAGTACAGTAATATGAATAATTGTTTTGTGTGTGTGTGTCTGTGTGTCTGTGCTCTTCCCTGGGTATGGGCATTAAACTCCATCGAGTCGGCTCCTGATGTATGTCTTAGTGACTGCTGTTTGTTTTTAGGATGTGATCTGGTTTTCCATGTCCATTTTTCGTGATTATGACTATTCTGGATAAAGAATGTTTTGAGCAGAGGTGGATTCAAGGCACCCCGCTTAATTTTTTTAAGGAAAAAAAAGGAAAAATATATTCAAATTGAAGTGCGAGAGTGTAATTTGCGGCCATCTAGAAGATGCCCTAATCATAAATTTTCTTACCTCAGCCCCAACCATGGTGGGGCTGAGGTGGGAGGTTCCTCGGTCTGTGATAGTCCCTCTCTGGTTCACCTCTCTTTCGAATTCCTGGATCTGCCACTGTTCATTTATTATATAAATATTTTTTCGTTCATTTATAATGCGTCTATTGCAATTTTCACTTTATTCTCTCAAACAGTCCTAAGAACGCTCAGTGTGCGCTACTTCACAGGGGATTCTCCCCCTTGACCCCGCCGGGGTCATACGTAATTCGCATAACGGCTCCCCCCCTTTCAAAATCCTGGCTACGTCCCTGGTCACGTAGTCTGATTCTTTGTACGCCGCCAATTCAGGAATGTAATGCGTTGCTGCTGCAATGATTCCAATAATGAGTACTTAATTATTTTTCTCTCTCTCTCTACAGAAACATTCTACAGTGCTCATGACGTCGGGATTAAGATGCAAAATATGCCTATGATGCAATTTGTATTTTTTAATAATGAATAAATGTTTGAGCAATAATTATGCTTTATTTTTTCAGCAATTTTTGTTTAAATGATAAAGCAACCTTATTAGATAGGCCTATTGACGGTGAATGAAGTGGAATCAAATTAATTTTGATTCTAATAAATATTACACAGTAGGGAGATTTCGTTTAAATGATAAGTGATAGTTATACAGAATCAGAATTAATTTTGTTGTCATTAAAAAAACATTACAAAGTCATGGAAATTGTTTTCTTTGTTATAGTATTACAAGTCAGACTGATATAAGTATAACGAATGAAAAGACCATCGAAACATGAATTAAACCGGGGAACAGTGTTCCCTGATTAATTCCCTGATTAAACTTCAATGTTTTATTTTTTACATAACATCAATGCACTTCCGTTTGTATTGATTCTTTTAATTTGTCATGAACGGAAATAAACTGTTTGAAATAGGCACCAAGTTACCAGTACTGCAAGTTGCCTAGTAACTGTGACTTCAGTAAGAAACGTTCCCGCAATTAAGTACGAGTATACACTGTAATTGGGAGAAGCAGACATAAGGTCAGTCACATAGTCTGATTCTTTGTACGCCGCCAATTCAGGAATGTAGACAGCTGCTGATTCTGCGATCTGAGACAGACAAGAGACCACGTGCATGCAAGTACTGCGGGACAATTAGAACCGCTCATTTTCCAACGGGTATAACTATGTTTTGACTATCATTAATACGTGTGTTGACAGTGAGATTTTCACCGGGTAGACAATGGTTTGCAGCAAATCCCTTGTTTACGTTTTTGGGAATTCCCACTGAATGTCTGTATGTAAAAAAAAAATCCACGGAAATTCAATGAATAATAGTTGTTTAATGAAAAGTAAATATGAGTAAGCTTTAGCTTAATGCAAAATTTGATAGATTTTGATTACGAACAACGTATAAAAATACATTATCATTTGTATTAGTTTCTAGTATGCTTTCATAACATCTTAATATTGTAGTACTCGGTGACCTGAAAAACAAAAAAAAATCATAGTAAATAACACTTGTCATTTCAACTATTAATAACTATAAATAATAAAAATAGTGACAACAAGCATATTTCAGATCCAAAGACAAGGTTACGTTATTCCTTATTAATCTAATAAATTACATCAATCACATTTTGTTAACGCATTTCGATATATTCTGAATATTATTTCGGCTATTAATAACACTAATAATAAGCAAGAGTGTTTTAGATGTGGTAGGATACGTAGGTTGAACGTCTTCTACTCAAAATAGAAGTAATTTTTCAGTTATTTTGTATAAAATTTCTATAAATAACATTTGTAAATTCGAATAAAACAATCATCCCATCTATGTAGCTTAATCAACCTAAGCTGGAATTCATCTAAGCTAACGTTGTAAGGACAGTTTATTCACCACTGTATTGTCGTTGTGTGCATGCTTGCTAACGACGCGCACTGTCTTTTGTCTGGTGATAAACAACATCGCGAAATATGCAGGCAGGTAGTTAGTTCGCCGAGCATGCATTTTACTCAATGCCGTAATGCTTGGATAAACAAATGTCAAATAGGTCACTTCGTCATTTGTTATTCATTAGCTTATTACACGCGTGTCACTCGCAAATTACTCTTGTGGCCCACGTGTGTCTATGTCGAACGTTCGGTGATCAGTACTGTATAGGCTGCCTATAGGAGCCTATAGGCCGCCTATTGGATCCTATAAGATCCTAAAGGATCCTATAGGACATTTTTGTTAGGGCAATCTTGAATTTGCGGCGGTTTCGGTAAAAGATGCTGAAGGCCAGGGAGATCGAAAATTTCGCCTTCACGGTTCAAGTTTCTACTAGGGCCTATATCTACCTAAGCATATCCATGTCTTTGTCCTTGCGCTATGAATGACTGAATAAAATTACGTTTTTCTAGCTAGCGCTTTATTACAAAATTATAACTTTTGTTTGTTACGCGCGCACACACTGTCACATGTATAAAATGCGCGAACACTCTTCCTATCCATTTTTAATACACATGAACTATTTATTTATGATGGAAGAATAAGGATTTATGATACCGTACATACAGTACCTACACCTAAAAAAAACCCAAAAAACAGAACATCAATTTTTCCATTCCAAAGTGAGTAACGACAAAAGAGACAATTGTGAAGGTTTACGAC